GTCTGAAGCTGGCTCAAAATGGAATCTTCCAACCTCTTTCCAAGCTCTACCCTAGATGCTATTAATAAATTGATTGAATGAAAGAGAAGGTGAATTAATGCTCAGAAATTTGGGGACTAATAATGCCAATCATCATGCTGGTGTTGGGATTTTGGCTGCAGTGGGGGTGGAGAGTTTAATATTTTTTTAGATTTGCATATAAATGCCAAAGTGACAATCTTTTCTGAAATATTTAAGAGATTTGATATCTTTTGCAGGTTCACAAAAGAGGAAATACAAACAGCCAAGAAAAATAAATCAGTATTCTCAATCTGACTCCTAATTAAATAAATGAAAATTAAAACAATAAAGATATGCCATGTTTTTTGCTCATCAGATGGGTTATGTTCAAAAATCTTTGACAATGTCCTGGACTGTTGAGGGCTTGCAAACACAGGCATTCTCATATAAAGGGAATATGCAACTATTTTAGAAGGCAATGTGACAATGTCTATTAAATTTAAAAATATATGTACTCCCTGACCAAGTAATTTCACTGCAGGAATTTCTCTCAGCAGTGCTTGCTGTTTGCACAAGTTTAAATAATTTACTTAGCGCTGCTATAGTTTCTTAGTGCTGTTGTAACAGAAATATCATGAGTGGGTGGTTTTAAAGTTTCTGAGGCTAGAAGCCCGAATTCAGGGTGCTGGCTCTAGGGGAAGGTTCTCTCTCTGTCGGCTATAAGGGAAGGTCCTTGTTTCTTTCCAGCTTCTGTTTCTGAGTTCCTTGGTGATCTTCATGTGGTGTGCTATTTCGCCTCTATTTGTGCTTGCTTGCTTCTGTGCCTGTTGCTAGGTGCCGTGAAGTCAATTTTTGACTCATAGTGACCTCCCCAATGTGACAGAGTAGAACTGTCCCATAGGGTTTTCTAGGCTGTAATCTTTACAGGAACAGATCACCAGGTCTTGTCTCCCACAGAGCCATTGGGTGGGTTTGAACAGTCAGCCTTTTCTGGCTAGCAGTCAAACGCTTAGCCGTTGTACTGCCGTGGCTCCTTCTTCTGTGTCTAATCTGCTCTTCTTATATCTCAAAAGTGATTGACTTAAGACACACTTTACACTGATACAGGCTCATTAACACAGCAAAGAAAGCCTATTTCCAAATGAGATTACATTCACAGGTATAAGGATTAGATTTACAACACATATTATTGGGGGACACAATTCAATCCATAATACTAGCCCAATAAATATATATGTATAGGGCCGCTATAAGTCAGAAGGGCAACGAGTGTTTATATGTATAATAACAGTGCAGTTTGAAATAGCCAATCATCTATACAACCTATTAAAAAGATAGCAATTAACGAAATTACAGTTGACTCTACAACGGATTCTATGTAGTGATTACCCAAGAAATGGTTAAATTTAAATGGGGTTGATTTGGAGAGATTTTCAACTTGCTATTTCTCACCAACACTATATTTTGCATAACAGTTTTACAGCATGATATTTTGTTTGTACGTGTGTGTGTGTGTGTGTGTGTGTGTATACACAGACATATTCAACTGTTTAAGCCTAAACAATTTCTGGAAGACTATACCAGAAATATAAAAAAATATATATATTATTTCTTAGGAATGAAATCAAGGTCAGGAAGTAGATTTTACTTCTCACTTGATATACCTGATACCTTTTACTCTTTTTTATTGTTATTGTTGTTAGTATAAAAGTAATCTATGCTCATAGTAAAAACTCCAAACACCCCATGGCTAAAATGTTGAGAACTTGCGAGAACTGACGGCTCTATCACATCCCTACAATATTTCAGCAGCACTAGCCCTACCCAGGTATTGATACATAAGTCTTTCACTATGGAAAATAGATTGGAAGGTAGGAGTGGAAAGTAAAAAGGAGGCTGTCAGATCTCACCAAAGACCAGAATTAGTGGGAAGAACAGTTATATGAGTCGTGGTGGTGTCTTTTTGTTTTGTTTTTCCAGCTTGTAAAATGCCAGCCTGAGGTTCATTCCACAAAGAGTTTTGGGCAGTTATTTTCATAGGTGGTTAAAGAGCCAAGGTTGTATTTCACCAGTGAAGGATATTAGACCTTGGGAAAGTTGATGCAAGGTTATTTACTCATGCAAATAGACTCTGAGGCCAGTAATTGTCCCCTGTCCCCTGTCTGTGCTGGCATGGATCGCCACCAGTACAGAACATTCAGGTCACTGGCTAGGCTGTTTATTTCACAAGTAAATGGGAGAAGCAATAATGGTCAAGCTAGGCACTGCCAGTTCTCCTATGAGATGTATGTTTACAGATGAGCATAAATATATAAATATACATCCACGTATAACTGTCATGTTAAAAATTCTGATAGAAGTTATGGCTGTTCATTTCCTCTAAAAATTACACCCACATAACAGCTGACTCCCAATTTCTAGAATTTATTAACATTCTTGAGCTCATCCACTGGCCCTATAGAACTCACAAAGTGTATGATAAAAGACCTGTCTTTAAAAAGACATGTCCATACCATGACACACACACACACATTTATTAATTCAGCTAACATTAAATGTGTCAGGCACTGAGCTGTGTTTTGGACACAGAACCAAGAGTAAATAAGATACAGCTTTTCACAAAACTTCAATCCAGTAGCTTGGTCAACATTTTCTCTCTATACCCATTAAACACGCATATACATAAGTGCACCTATGTTAGGTAAATCAACAGAATGTAGGTTTCCCTTTTATTGTGATCTGCAACTTAAATATATTGTGTACATACAATACACACACTCACGCGCACACACACACGGCATTTAAACAACAAAACCTTTGTTTCCTGCATGACGACCTGTCAATTTGTCCTCAGTTGAATGCAGAGGCCAATAACAACTGCCACATACAATAAATATGTTTAAAATTTTCCAGTAATACTTGCTGTAATTGATTGTAATTGAGGTTGCTCTCTTTTGCTCGCCTACCAAGGCAGAGAAGCAATACAAGAAAGGATAACATCGTTGTCACAATTGTAAACTACAAGACATCCACATTTCAGAGCACAGTTGTCAAGAAATGCCTGGGCCAGTCATGGGCCCTCATAGAACAAAAGCTTTCCAGAGCGCCTCTTTCCCCAGATATGGGGACTTCAACTGAAACACAAATTAATTATAAAATATATCTAGGTGCAATTGAAATGAGACCAAAACTGAAGTTTGAATAACAAACTCAGATAAGCACTTACAACTCACCTCCTGGGCATGAGCCAACTATACAAGTCAGATTTTTTCTGTGTCTAATGCCTCCGTGTCTTGGCTGCAAAATTCCTGAACACATTAAACTCAGAAAAATTGTTTTGTTCAAAGTCAAAAATCTTATTTTAACACATACGTATTACCTAGAATATAAACAATGAGTTCCATGTATTTAACTTTTCTACTGAACGGTAATGAAGGGATGGAGAAACAAGAGGAGGTATCAATCAGGGAAGAGAGAGAGACAGTACATAGATACTGGAATTCTTGGAGCAACTGACCAGGCTGGAGCCTGATTTTTATACATACACTCACAAATCTTGCCAGCTACATTTGCTAACACCTTGCTATTCTGACCTCTCGGCTCTTTCCTTCCCCTCCTCTGTTTCTTTCACCTGGAGCCCTGGTTACTGAATTTCTGGAGAGAGAAAGAGGGAGAGGGAGAAAGAGACAGATATTATAATACTTATGCTCAGCTCCTTTATTTCAGCTGGTAGGTTTTTGTTGTTTTGTTTTGTTTTGGCAGGGATAAAGTTTCAAATTTAATCCCTTTATTGAATTTTCACCCTTGGATAGTTTCTGAAGATGCTGCCTTTGCAAAAAGTAAAATAAAATAAATAAAATTAGAACTAATATATGTCATGCCTTGTGAAAGCTGAGCCTGAGATGTCAGTTTGGCATTATCAGCCTCCACGCCTTCGGGGAGCACAGGAACGATGCTGGGTATAAGAACACGTGTGCATTGGGAGAGCAATGGCCTTGTGGGTTTTAGGAATGGGGGTATATTCATCAAATGTCACAAGCCAGAAAGCAGCATTATCTCCAAAAGCTAGAAAATGAAAGCAATCTAGGATGTTACCAGCTCTACCCAGAGCTTTCTAAACAAGAGGTGTAGTCGTGGGAGACAGACCCTAAAGCGCTTTCATTGGCTTTCCGTTGTGGGACCTTGCTACCCAAAGCGTTTTCCACTGGACAGCAGCATCGGTATCACCTGGGGATTGTTAGGACAGCAGCATGGGTATCACCTGGGGATTGTTAGG